GCGACCTCTGTCAGCTGCCGTCGGTTCAAACATTTTCCACTCCCCGGCCACGTGACACCGTCTCCACAGACGGCACCTGCCAGGCATCGCCGAGCGAAACCCGGAGCGGCATCGGTCCCGGCGGGGAGGACAGGGCGGCCTCAGACGGGCCATATATGGCATCTGCCTCTCACAGCGAGCGGCCCCGCTTCCTGCCGGCGGGTAACCCGGGCAGCGGACGCACAATGCTAGGAAAGCGCCCAGCGCACAACAAACGGAGGAATAAACAGCCCAGGTTCCTCTCTGCACCGCCGTGTGCGGCTGGCCGGACTGGGTGTGTTACTTAGGTTGCTAAGCAACGGAGGAAGAAAATAAAGGCGATTTCGGCGCAGGGCATGGAGCTACGCTGTGCAGTGTGATTACAGCATCCGGATTTAGACCCAACAGGACTAGACAGGGTTTCTTTAAGGTTAGACGCCAACCATGATAACAGAAATCAATTCAGTGGGGTTCATGGCTGGGCTTTTCTTCTTCTTATTATTATTATTTAATCCAACGGTGATGCCAGCCTGGCAAGCTCAAATTGAATGCTTATGAAATCAGGAGCAGCCGAAGCTGGTTTGGCTCAGTGGATAGAGCCGTCGGCCTGTGGACTGAAGGGTCCCGGGTTCGATTACGGTCGGGGGCATGCACCTTGGTTGCGGGCACATCCCCACTAGGGGGTGTGCAAGAGGCAGCTGATCGATGTTCCTCTCTCATCGATGTTTCTAACTCTCTGTCCCTCTCTCTTCCTCCCTGTAAAAAATCAACAAAATATATTAAAAATAAAGGAAAATCAGGAGCACTGTCTAAGATGACTTCAACCAACCTGCCCGAGGAGGTGCCAAACGGTCTGTTAAACTGCAGACCCGTAAGGCCCGGGTACCCCGCCCAGGCCTCCGCGCCCCCGGGGAGTTCCCGGCAGGAAGGGGGCGCTGTCACTGGGGACCTTCTGCCTCCGAAGGGCGGGCGCCCAGCATCCGAGAGTGTGTACGCAGGACCTGAGTCCCCGCTGAAGCCGCTCCTTCCGGGAACACTGCCCCCACCCCCCGCCCTCCGCACCCCCCCAGCCCCTCCCGCCAGGAAAAGCAACCTCAGAACCTGGGGAGGGACTTCTCAGAATCGGGTTCCCTCAGCCACAGTGGAGGGAGGCATCTAGATAGCTTATCCCAGACCCTCACTTTCCCTAAACCAGTGGTCGGCAAACTGCGGCTCCAGAGCCACTTGTGGTTCTTTGGCCCCTTGAGTGTGGCTCTTCCACAAAACACCATGGCCCAGGCGAGTCTATGTTGAAGAAGTGGCGTTAGAAGAAGTTTAAGTTTAAAAAATGTGGCTCTCCAAAGACATTTCAATCTTTGCGCTGTTGATATTTGGCTCTGTGGACGAATGAGTTTGCCGACCATGGCCCTAAATCATCAGGTACCTGTTTCAGTTCGCCCCTTTCCCTTTGGTTGTGCAAGCATAGACGCAGGAGGCTGCCCAGGGTGTGGGAAGGCTGCCTGTGGCAGCTGCTGTTCCAGGACCTCAGTCTCCCCCCCACCCCCCATGGAATTAGGGGACAGGAAGGCCCCCTGTGCCCCTCCTGGGCTCAGTCTGTGCGAGCAAAGGGCAAACCAGTAGGTAATCAGCAGGAAGAGAGGCCTCGGTCCTCCAGGTAAAGCCGAGAATCGATTACCCGTGCAAATAGCAAAGTCCGCCTGCACCAAGCTCTCTACCCTGGCGTTCGTGTGTTCCTGCTGCAGACGGTGACTGAGTGCCTCCTGTGTGCTGGGCCTTTTCTGGCCACGGAGATGCAGCCGTGAACTGAAGGGGGGAAATCCCCGCTCTCAGCGTGCTCTCAGCTCCAGTGGGAAAGCCCGCAGTACAGACTGAAGGTAACGCCTGGTTATCCTAAAGCGGAGACGACTGCAGTCACCTGGCAAACATACACCCTCCCCCACACTGAGGGGTGAGGGGAGAGCCAGCGTTTACGAGGCCTCTACGCCCAGGCACTCCGCAGTCACAGCGTGTGAGCACTCGCTTTGCGCCAGGCTCCCGGGGAGGCGAGCTCAGATACGCTCCCTGATTCCCTTCCGGCCTCTCGGCAACCCTGCTCCCCTAACTGTACAGACGGGGGAACGGCTGGAAGTCAGCAGTCATCGCTCCGGCACACCCTGCCGGGGTCTCGGCATGAGCCTGATCCCTTCACCAGATGGTGGTCACACCCTCCCTCGCTCTGCTCCTCAGCCGGCAGGCCGTGTCCCCCCCTCCCTGCCCCCCTCCATCCCTCCAGCCCTCTGGTTCAGCTGAGACATCTCCCTTCTCCAGAAGGACTGTCCTGACTCTCACTATGGCTGAGACCCTGTGCTGATCTCCTCCTTGAGGGGCATCTGACCCACCAGGCACCCAGGTGTCTCCGTCTTCCTACTTCCCCTCCTCACTGCCTCTCCGGCCAGGACTGGGACGTCACTCACTTGACTTTATTCTGTCCGTTTTGTCCCTTGTTCTATAGACATCGGTCTCATGTCCTCCACTAGATTGGCTGCTTAGAGAACAGTGTTCTATGTTTATAAATTATATATGTTCACTAGAGGCCGGTGCACGAAATCCGTGCAAGAGCAGGCCTTCCTTCCGCCGGCTGCCGGCACCAGCTGCCTCCGGCCCCGGCCCCGGGCCTCCCTCGAAGCCCTGACTGCGGCCTGAAGGTTGTCCATAAGGACGTCTGGAAGGACATCTGGCCTGATTAGCATATTACACTTTTATTTTTATTTATTTATTTATTTATTTATTTTAATACATTTTATTGATTTTGGACAGAGAGGAAGGGAGAGAGATAGAGAGTTAGAAACATCGATGAGAGAGAGCCATCGATCAGCTGCCTCTTGCACACCCCTTACTGGGGATGTGCCCGCAACCAAGGTACATGCCCTTGACCGGAATCGAACCCTTCAGTCTCCGAGCCGACGCTCTATCCGTTGAGCCAAACCGGTTTCGGCTGCTTTTATTATCTTAGATACGTTACATATCTATGTATACATGTGTAAATTATCTTTATAATGCTTGTTTAAGAATTATTTAACCGAGTGGCTCTCGAACTTGAGTGTGAATCAGGACGACCGGAGGGCGTGCTAAAAGAGCTGACTGAGTCCCTCCCCCAGAGGGTCTGATCAGCAGGCCCGGACCGGGCTGAGAATGTGCATTTCCAACAAGTTCCCAGGAGATGCTGCTGGTGCTGGGGCAGGAACCAGGCAGGGAGACCACAGGTTGAGAGTGGGATGTACCGCTGGGCCGAGCAGCCAGGAGGCTGGGTCTGAGTGGCCTCGGGCACGCTGACCCCTCTGAGCCTGTCCCCTCACCTGCGAAAATGGGGACAATACGAGTGCCCACGTACGGGCCGTGTGAGGATGAAGGGTAGTCATGACGCCACGAGCACAGTACTGCCCCAGACACACTGGGAAAATTCAGGAATGCTTCCTCTTACCCCTGGCAAGGCTGGCACAACATCGAGCACGGAACAGGCGCCAGACCCAGCCCAGGAATCCTTCCTCAGGCTCACGCAGCTCCCCTCGGGTTTGCGAGCGGTGGGAGCGTGACATTCCTCACAGACAGCTGTGGACGTTAGGCCAGACCGGCGGTCGGCAAACCCGTGAGTCCACGGAGCCAACTATCACCTGCACCACGATGGACATTCCTTTGGAGAGCCACATTTTTAAACTTCTTCTAACGCCACTTCTTCCACATAGACTCGCCCAGGCCGTCGTGGTGTTCTGTGGAAGAGCCACACTCCAGGGGCCAGAGAGCCGCATGTGGCTCGCGTGCCGCCGTTTGCACACCACGGAGCCAGACTATTCAAAAGCACAGCAGAAAGGCCTGTAGAAATACCGCCCAGGTGTCTCTCTAACACTCAGGGGCTGTCTCCAGTGGCCTCCTTCCCCCTTCCCCCGATGGAGGTGCTGGCTGGCCTCGGAGAGCCTGAGCAGCTGGTCCCCCTGCTTCTGGGCTAATGGCTGGCAGACACCAGCAGGGCCCATCACTCAATCATTGATCAGCTGCGGGCACGGGAAGACACCCTCCCCAGAGTCAGCACCACCGCCACCTCCCCGCCCGGTGGTCTCAGGGCACCCAGGCCCCGCGCTCCCTCCGGCTCTGAGCGCTTCTTCACCCAAAGAGAGACCCCTGTTTGCCGTCCGGGTCCCCCTGAGCAGCCACCCTGGCTGACACTCTCCGCAGGGAGCCGGGAGGGGTGTGCGGAGCAGGCCGTGTCCCGCCCCTGTCCCCCAGCCCCTGGCGCCTGGGAGGGGGCACCCAGGGGCGGAGGGATGGCCTCGCCCTGGTCGGGTCACGGCCCTGGCCCTCCGGGGACCGGGAACCGCGGGCACACTGTTCATTCCATGCAAAGTTGAATGAGATCATCCCTGGGAGATGGTATGGAGCAGAGGCTGCGGGTGGGGGCTGGGGGGACGCCGCGGCCCCCCTCCCGCCGGGCCCCTTCCCGGGGGAGCATCGCCGCCTCCTCTCCTCCACCGGACCCTCCCTGATGCTCAGGAAACGGACCACCTCCCCCTTTCCCGAACCCTCTTCTCTCCTGCCCCAGCTTCCTGCACAAAACCACCGCGGCCAGGTGGTGGGTCCACGCACGCAGACGGGGTACCACCCCGGCAGCCCCCCCGCCCCCGGTGCAGGGTCCCCCAGCGCCCCGGCCAGGCCCAGCCCCGGGGGAGGGCGCGATCAGGGGGTGCGGCGGCTGGAGGGGCCCCGGGAGGTGGGGAGGGCGGGCGAGCGAGCCCGCACCCGGGTGCTCAGCGGGGGAGGGACGCCGGCGGAGCGGCTCCTCCGGGGAAGAGCCCGGGGTCCCCTCCTCACCGGTGCTCTTGGCGCGCCGCCCTCCTCCATCCCGCCCTCCCTCCCCGCCCCGGGGCCGGTCCGGACGCCCGCAGCGACCCGTCCTCCGGGGACCCGGCCCCGCGCCCCCGCCCGGCCCCCGCCGCCCGCGGCCCCCTCACCCAGAAGAGCAGGTTGAAGCCGAGCAGCAGGTACTTGATGCAGCGCAGGCCGCCGCGGAGGCGCCCCATGCTGGCCGGCGGCGGAGCGGTCCGGCGGTGCAGCCCCGAGCAGCGGAGCAGCCCCGAGCAGCGGAGCCGCGGAGCCGGGAGGGGGCGTGGCTAAACGGCCAGGGGCGTGGCCTCAGCGGGGGCGTGGCCTGAGGGCGGGGCGGGCCTATGGGGGCGGGGCCTGCGGGGACAGGGCGGGGCGGGAGCCCTGCAGGGGGCGCCAGAGGGCCCCGGAGGAGCCCAGCTGTGGGCTGGCCAGGGCCGGGGCGCCTTGCGGCCAGGAGGGCTCCTCCCCGGCTCTCCCCGGAGCGGGGGCCGCCCCTACCCTCCCGTTATCTGAGCATCCGCCGGGAAGGAGCGCCCCCTGGGGACCAGACCCCTTCCTGGGCGCTCCGCGCGGAGACGGGCGCTATGGAAACCCAGGGGGTGGCCCCGGGGAGGGAGACCAGTGGGACCCGAGGCCGCCCTGACGCCGCTGGCAGGGCGCGTCCCGGGCCCCCGGGCTGCGGGGACTCTTAACCCCGCCCCCTTCTTCCCGGGGACGGACCTTAATAGGCGAGGAGTCGGGGAGGGAGGCGCGGGAGGCGCTGTCCGCCCGGATGGCGCTCCCCGCCCGCCCAGCCGGCCTGCGGAGGGGGCGTGGGGACGGGCCCACCCTGGGGAGTAGCTGTGTGCGGAGATGGCAGCTAAGGGGGAGGTTTGTTTTGGTTCGTGAAGTGAGGCTGCTGGTGGGGAAAGCAGGCTCCCTCCCTGGCTGACTAAGTGCCTGCGGTCTGCGGTGCCAGACAGCGAGGGGGCGACGGGAAGGTGTGAACTGCAGGCGCCTCTGCGCGAATCCAGCAGAACTTTAATTAATGCCCGTGATAAGCCCGGGCCTCCGCTGCGGACACAGCGGCCCGCAGCTCCCCGTCCGGTGGAGGCAGACCTGTAGGCAGATCACTACCGCAGGGTGAGGAGTCTCCGGACCGCAGGGAAGGTTTGGCTGAGGATCGGGGCCCTGCTCCGGCCTGGAAGCGTGAGTCTGAGCAGAGGGCGGGGGCAGCCCAGGCAGACCGGGCAGGACGTGCAGGTGGCACCCGGAGGAGAAAACTGGGCCTCCTGGGAACCAGGAGCTGTGGACAGAACCAGGTGCAGCAGAGAAGGAGGTGAGCCAGGAAGGGGCTAGGGCACAGCTCTCAGTCCATCAGCAAAAGCACAAAGCTATCTTCAGGCCCCAGTTTCCTCATCTGCCACGTGGAGAGAGGAGTATAAAGACCTGGGAGAGCTGTGGAGACGAACAGGTTAATATGGGTCGGTGCCCAGAATAGGGCCTGGCTCAGAGTAAGTGCTAGATTAAGGGTTGGCCACTGCTGTACTGTATCTGTCGACAAATCACTGTCTACCATGGTGCCATCTTTGCCTACATCTGTGTCTTTGGATATTTTGTTTGAGTATCCAAAGTGGATTTTACTTATGAAAAATGAGTACAAGGCAGAGAAGTGAAAGTGCCGAGTCTGGTAATGAGCTTACGTTTCAAAGAGTGAAACAGAGGCAGAGATGAAAGTCGTTGGGTATGCAGAGAGAGGAAAATCTTTAGCTTTAATCAAACGCGTATTGTTCTACACCTATCATCAGTTCTAATATAAAGGCAAAACCGAAATGTAGCAGTGGTGCCTAGTTCGTAGTAGGCATTCAACAAATCTCTAGGCTGAATGAGGAACAATAATATTATATTTCAAAGATATGGCTGAATTTTAGGTCCCTATGACAAAATACATTTACAGATTCTATGCAATCTGGGAACAGAACACCTGTTATAACATATAAATCTATTGCTCTTTCATACTACAGTTTTGGCACACACATATTAGGGATAGAAGGTTGCCTGCTTGGCATAACAGATTTGGATTTTGAGTATAGCTTCCCCCCCCCCCCCTCCCAGGCCCAAAGTTGTGTCTCAGGGAAGCTGACCCTTGACAGGACGAGTTATCCTAACGGATAACACCTTTTCAAGAGCACGTCATTATGACAGCAGGGACTTATATTGAGTGACATGATAAGGAAGTTAGCCTCTGAGCTACATGTCATACAAAGCCACAGACAAGCTCTGAGTAGGGGGTGAGATGGTTAGATTTCTGTTTTTAGAATGGTCAAGTTAAGGCCTCAGGATGTTTCAAGGTGAAGACTTGAGATTAATGACAGCAGTTTAGGGAGAAATGAGAACCTGAGCCAAGGGCAGGATGGCGGGAGGATGAAATGGTGGTCAGGACTAGCATGGATATTTAGACTCCAATAAAGGAACAGGCACTGGCTTCCAGGATGGGTCCTGCTGTTGGCCTTCTGGGCCTCGCCATGAAGGTTATTGACCCGGATGTAGGTCTGGGTGCTCAGGCACGGTGCGGTCACTAGGGGGCGCTATGTGCCCAGGTGGGAGGGTTGGGGCAAGGGCAGGACCCCGGGATGATGAAATGCTGGCCAGGACTAGCCTGGATATTTGGACTCCAGTTAAGGAAGAGGCACTGGCTTCCAGTGTGGTTCCCGGAATGGCCTCCTGGTCCTCCACATAACTGTCTATAATAAGGAGGTAGGTCTGAGCCCCGGACGGAGGTCTGGGTCCTGGGCGGGGCTTTGTGGCAGGGAGGGGGTCTGAGCCCCTGGGGGCGGTCTGGTACCTCTCCTGGACATCCGGGTTGTGGAAATGGTGTCTGAGTTACAAATTGAGAAGAACACCCAGGATTCAAGACGGGATTCTGTGTTTGAGGCCTGGGCCCCGGGATAATCTTCTCGGCCCCGCCCTGATAGTCTGGGTCCCGGATGCAGGTGTGAGCCCAGGTGGAGGGCTGGGTCCTGTGAGGCCAGTACGGACCCGGAGGAAAGTCTGAGCCTCCGGGGCGGGTTGTGGAATAGTTCGGGGTTTCGCATAGAGATCCCGTCCCCTGGTACAACCATGTGTTCCAGGTTTGCCGCCTGGGCCCGGGTGTGCCTACTCGGCCCCACCGTGAACGTGTGGGACCCGGATGCAGGTCTGGGTGCTCGGGCACGGTGTGGTCACTAGGGGGCGCTATGGGCCCAGGGTGGAGGTTTGGGGCAGGGCAGATCCTCAGGATGATGAAATGGTGGGCAGGACTAGCCTGGGTATTTGGACTCCAATTAAGGACTAGGCACTAGCGTTTTACTTCCTGGCCCCGCCGGCTGCCCCTGGCGGGGATGGAGATCCGGGAGAGGTGTGCAGGCTCCCAGACCACCTGTATCAGGAATGAATAGGTAACGGGATATTTGATTCGTTGCCCTTGGTAACAGTTTTTCGGGCTCACCAGTAGGTGTCAGTGCAACCTAACTAACGTTCCCAGTGGATTGCGTACCTGCCAGCACACGAGTGAGAATTTTCTTACAATAGCAAAGTTCAGAACCTACTGTCCATGTGTTTGATTAAGAATATCTTAGGTAGCCGAAACCGGTGAGAGACTGAAAGGTCCCAGGTTCGATTCCGGTCAAGGGCATGTACATTGCTTGCGGGCACATCCCCGGTGGGGGGTGTGCAAGAGGCAGCTGGTCGATGTTTCTCTCTCATCGACATTTCTAGCTCTCTATCCCTCTCTCCTCCTCTCTGTAAAAAATAAATAAAATATATTAAAAAAAAAAAAGAATATCTTAAGTAGCCCTAGCTAGTTTGGCTCAATGGATAGAGCGTCGGCCTGTGGATTGGAGGGTCCCAGGTTCGATTCCAGTCAAGGGCACATGCCCAGGGTTTCGAGCTCAATCCTCAGGGAGGTGGTGGGGGAGGTTGTGCAGGAGGCAACCGATCAATGATTCTCTCTCATCATTGGTGTTTCTCTCTCTCCCTCTCCCTTCCTCTCTTAAATTAATATATATTAAATTAATTTATATATAATAATTAATATATATATATAATTAAATTAATCACATATATATATATGATTAAAAAAGGAATATCTTAAGTAGACTGTAGAGAAGTATCAGTCCTTCAGAAGTGTAGTTAGAATGGGCCGTTGCCCAGGTGTATCAGAGTATTGCCTACGGTATAACTCCCGTGCTCAGAGTTGCGATGAGCTGTGTGACACAGCGCTGTCAGCGGTGTGGAAGACTCGATCTTCAGTGCAGAATGCACACCTGTGGTGTGGCGTGTAAGGGTCACATGTGTGTGCCGCTCACACAGCACAGACATTGGCGCCCGGAAGCTCGCTGGTCCCTGGGTGGCAGATGTCCACCTGAGGACGCCATGGATGCCTAAGGAAGCCCTCATTGCCTGTGTGTGACGCCGGGTGCTTCCGATCGCGGCCGGGCAGCGCAGCGGGCCTGTGACCGGAGACGCCGGCCGCCCCCGGCTGTCTCTGCAGCCGCTGCCGCCGTGACGTGGGAGGACTCCATCGCGTGCAGAGGCCGCCGGCCGGACAAACAGGTTCCCGCAGAGCGAGGTGGAAGCCGCAGACCAGCCTTCTCATTCCTCTCGACACACCGCCTCCTGACCCCGCTGACCGCCCTCCGCTGGTTCTGGGTCATCCTCGGAGTTAAAGTTCTATTTTGTCCACACGGTTCCTCCAGCCATGACACGAGGCACAACCAGAGATAGACTGACGTACGGACAAAACCATGTGCACAAAATTACCTTTTAAAAAGCAACAGCCGCCGAAACCGGTTTGGCTCAGTGGTAGAGCGTCGGTCTGCGGACTGAAAGGTCCCAGGTTCGATTCCGGTCAAGGGCACGTACATTGGTTGCGGGCACATCCCCGGTGGGGGGTGTGCAAGAGGCAGCTGATCGATGTTTCTCTCTCATTGGCGTTTCTAGCTCTATCTCTCTCCCTTCCTCCTCTCTGTAAAATATCAATAAAATATATATTTTTTTAATTAAAAAAATAAAATAAAATCAAAAGCAAAAGCCAGCTTTCCACAGAGCTTTACGTATGTACCTGCCCTGTGGTCTCCCCTCCCAGGCCTGGGGTCTTACCCAGGGGTACGAACACCCACACCCACACAGAGGCCTGGGTTCGGAGCTTCCCGAGACCTCATCCTCCATCATCAAAGGCTGAAAGCAACTGGTTTCCACCAACAGTTAAAGGATGAGCATGTCACAGGTAACAGACCAGGAATCCCA